GCCCCCTAGACATTTCTTAAGTCAACAAACTCTAGAAGTAACCATCTCAACAATTTGCTGTAAACAGGCCTAAAAAAGATGTCATTAGAAAGAACAATACAGTTCATCAGGAGCTTGTAATAACTTGCCATACTGACTGTAAGTTAAAGCGGTTTAGGTTGTGCTCTCTCTCCAAGTACTTTAATATAAAAACAGGGTTTAAAATATCAGAAAGTTGTATGTGAAATTTTATTAATGGTTATAAAAATATATTGAAGAGCCTATTTCCTGCTACTTGGAAAACTGATTATTTCTATACTTATTCAACAATTAATCTAGATATTACCTTCAAAGATCCTTTTTTACTTTTTTCTTTTCTCTCCCTTCCTTCCTTGATTCCTTTCATTATTTTTCCTTTTTTTGTTCCTAAAATTGTTATGCTGCAAAATTTTGCAATTTTTCCACTCTTCCTAGGATATGTATAAACAATGAATATTATATACATCCATAACACATCACACACACACACATATACTGTATAAAATATACACATAGACACATAAATTTCCACATACGCATAAACACATACCCCCTCACATACACACATGCACAACTGCTAAACACCCTTCCACGGTCATGATGCATGACTTCAGTTTCTGACCTCACTGCCTGGGACAGATCCAGATTTTATAGAATCTGAGGTCTATACTCTTTAGGGAACCATCTTTAAAGCCAGAGTCAGAGAACGTAACTGATTACAGTTAAAATTTCTCTCTTTTTCAGGTTTTACAAAATCCTATTACCATGGGAACACATTGCTAGAACCCTCCAAGTGCCATAGAAGGGGCCTATAAAAGTTAGGGCCCTAATGCTTCTGTTTCATTTAGTGTTAAATCTACTTCTGCCATCCTCATCTTGAACCACTCCACAATCTGTCCTAAGCAACTGACACAGCCCCAACCTGTTCACTTTAATAACCCCGCTTTGAGGGGCTGTCAGGAAATCCCCACAAAACCAAGCAGCAGGGAATTCCTATTCTGGAAGTGGACTTCTTCCCCAAACCCCAGGCACTTGAAGAACAAGTAAGAGCCCAGTTTCAGAAAGGGCCCCACTGCTCAAAATGCAAATGCACTAAATTGCAAAAGCAGAAAACTGAAAACCCATATTCTCCTTTAAATGTTAAATTTGGAAGAACCAACCACAAAGGACATCACTCAATAGAAAACCACCCAGATTGTGCAGCAAAAGATGTTCTGACTTCTTAGTATGTAGTTCTGCCTTCTTAGTATGTATGAGGCCAAAGTGATCCACAGGCTATAATCCAGGACCAAGTCCAGGCCCATAACCTTGACAGTTGCCTTTACTGCACACCCACAGACCTTGCACAGGTGTACATAAAGACTCTGTGCACATCCCTTGTGATAAGATAAATTGAAACACCCAGAGCCTCTTCCAGAGCTTAATTTTCACCTTTAGTGTAATACTCTGGAATACCAGCAAAGGAGATCTCCCTCATCTCATACAGCACAATTATTTTTATGTTTATTTCGGCTGACCGGTGTAAACCCAAGGACACCCTTACAGTAGTCACCGTGACATTTGCGACTTCTACTCACATTGTTCACAGCATTAATGTTCACCTTCTTTTCAAACAGCTTCTCCATAACATCCAAATTATTGCTTTTAGCAGCATTCTGGAAGTTTCTCTCATTTGGCAGTACTGAAAGAAAGAAAGCAAGCACAACTGAGGGGATTTAAGGGGGATGAAGAGAAACCAAACCTCATTTGATAAACCTTTTCAATCTAAAAACTTAAAAGAACAGCCTTGAGCCTTTCTCATTCTGCCACTCTGGACATGGGAACTTTGCTTCAGTATTTTCTAAAGCTTAGTGTTAAGATTCCACTTTCTCCTCGCTCTACAAGTGTTTTCACACCCTCCAAAATATTCCTAGTCCCAAACACAGCATTATTCCAGAGGACCACCCTGAAGTCAGCAATGTAGTATCTGGCGCTAGGAGGTCGGAGGGTGGCCAGGGGCTTCCCAGGGGACCTTATTTGTAAAATGTTTGTACAAGATTAGACAGGGAGGAGCCCAAATGCTCCATACAGAGATAAAATTGTTGTCTACAGAACCCTGTGCAGATGCCAGGCCTGCAAACAAACCCTTAAAATGCAGCACATCAGATAAATGTATACAAAGGCTAAAAGGGATGGATGTGTTTTATTCTCATTTATATGAAAGGACATAAAAGTAGATTCATACCTACTATAAACATTAAATATCACACACATATACACATTCAGATGACAGGTATTATTAACTAGCATAAGGAAGATTCCAGGACTTATTGAGGGTTGTTTGTCTGGCTGTTTGTTGTTGTTTTATCTTTATTAAATTTATTGGGTGACATTGGTTAGTAAAATTATTTAGGTTTCAGGTGTGCATTTCTATAATACATCATCTATATATTGCATTGTGTGTTCACCACCCAGAATTGGTTCTCCTGTTTGTTATTTTATTTTATTTTTGCCATGTAGGGGAGCTGGGGGGCTCATAGGGACAACCTCAACACTGGGGGATAAAGTCAGAATTGTCATGATGTGAAATCAGCAACAGACCATCTCCAAAAGGAAAGGACCCTAAGAGAGGTTTTGAGATGTGTCACCAACTAGTTTCCCTAGTATCTGCCAAAGACTCTTTAGAACGCCATCAAGTCCCATCAAAGACCAGGGAGTATCTTCGTGGCTGATATAAACATTCATTGTTTCTGTCACCTGGATCCCTCTCCTTTCTACCCTGACTCTTGTTACCACTTTATGACTTCAACATCCATGGAGATGATTAATCCAACACCTTGGTCTCTCAGTTCCCTGACTCCCTTGCCTCTAACAATCTTTTCCTCCACCTGACCTCAGCCACCCAATTTCAGGGTCATCTTCAAAAATGATACTACCTTTGACATCTTCAAGAATCCTACTCTCTGAACACCATCTCTCATCCATTCAGCTCACTTACTCAAGTTCTCCTAGTCCAGAAATTCTGCAACCTTGTCAAGTCCTCCAATCTACTGTTCTCACCATCTTGTCATAGTATTTATCCCTTATGTCCTTATTTCCCTCCTTACCCAGTTTAGATCCCATACATAGTCCATCTTTGAAATCACTTCCATGCAAACACCTTTACTTCCCTCACCACTCTCTTCCCTCATCAGACTAGTTGGTCAGAATCCTAATTCTGAAGTTAAATTCAACTGCTATCTCCTCCAGTTTTATACCTGAAGAGCTAAAATGGTACTGTAGAAAAACACACAACCATGCTGTGGTACACACCACTAGTGTTTATCAATATCTGGTTCTCCTCTCCTTTCTGAGCACATGGGTAAGTACACATCCCAGCCTAGATGCAGTTAGGTGAGGTATGTCCAATGGACTGAGAGCAGAAGTGATGATGTGTCACTATGGGACTGAGTCAGTGAAAAGCCCCTGTGTCACCTTCCAGGTCTCTCTTCCCCTATCTTCTCAATCCTGGAAGAAATGTGTTTAAATGTAGGGATGTTATGACTGAACTGTGTCCCCTCAAAATTCATATTTTGAAGTAAGTCCTAACCACCAGTACCTCAAAATTGTAGCTGTATTTGGAGATAGGTTCTTCAAAGATGTCATTAAGTTAAAATGAAGTCATTAAGATAAGCCCTAATCCAATATGACTGGTATCCTTATAAGAGAGGAAATTTGGATATAGACACACAAGGGAAAGACTATATAAGGACACAGGGAGAAGAGGGCCATCTACAAGCCAAGGAGAGAGGCCTCAGAAGAAACTAATCCTGCTGACATCTTAATCTTGGACTTCCAGCCTCAAGAACTGTGAGATAGATTTTTGTTGTTTAAGCCACCCAGTCTGTGGTAGTTTGTTATGGCAGTCCTAGCAGACTAATACAAGTCACAAGATGGCGGTGCCTCCATCAGCATGGTATTGGGGGACAATCTCCATGGGTTGCTTGCATTTCTCACACTTTATAAGCAGAAGCACTGATTGCCTTTGTCCTGGACTATCGTTTCAAGGATGTCTGCATAATGAACTGTGTTGAAAGACAGGGATAATGTCTTCCTCTGAAGCAAGGGGCAGCTTTGATAACAAACTGAAAGACAGTGAGAGTAAAGCATGCTTACTGTCCATTACAAAATATTTGGGTTTCCTAAGTCAAGGTTCTTCTGCAGCACAACCCACTGCATGTGCAGGTATCACTTCTGTAATACTTGGTGCTTTTTGTCTCTCTCTGCAGGAACTAGGGCCTGGAGAACACTGACCCTCTGGCTACTGCTACTGCTGTAATAAAATCCTTTGTATCTGATCCTGAGGTGTCTTCCACCAGCATCTATGTTACCATGATAGGCTAACTTGTTAGCTTGCAAGTAGAGTAAAATCTCAGCCCCTTTATAGTTCTTGACACATGGGTTCCTGAGAGACTAGGTTTTAGCAGACCCTCACCAAAACATGTAAGATATGCTATATGCGCAAAAGTGTATCTCTTTACTATATTCAGTCACTCAGATTTAGGGGTTATTTGTTGCTGCAGGAAAAGCTAGTCTATCCTGACTGATACGTATACTAATATGCTACACATAACTAAAATATTCCTAAATTCTTACCCACAAGTAGAATCTCAGCACAGAAATCCTACTACATTTCCCTAGTCTTCCATTCTCCAAAACTTCATGACCCTTTCTTTCTCTTCAAATATCCTAATCTACTCATTTACCTTAGTGTCCACTGTTACCATCATCTAATTCTCATTTTATAACATTGCACAGAGAAAGCAGAAGCAATCAGACACACGTCTTCCCACCACTAAGTCTATCCACCAACCTACATTTATACCTACCCTCCCTGCTTTTATTACTGTTAAAATCAATGAAGCATCCATCCCTGTGCCTACCCAAGGCCATCCCCTGCACTTGAGGGCTGGATCCCATCCCTTCTCATCTTTTCAAGTATTTCATATATCAGTTTCCTAGAAATTATCTCCTTTTCTCCTTTGCATCATTTAATTATTCACTCCAAAATATATAGAGATGCTATACCTTTAGTTTAAAAAACCAATAAACTTATCCCTTAACTTCACATTCCTTTCCAACTGCCACTGCATTTCACAACCTCCTGTTATTCCCAGATGTGTAAGTGTTCTATAATTGCTGTCCCCACTTCTTCATCTCACAGTCTCATCCCAATCTCTGCTAATCAGACATTGTTCCCATCACTCCACTGAAAATTGCTCTTTTCAAGGTCAAGATCAAGATTTGCCAAAATCCAGTCATCACTTCTTTGTCACGTGCAGATCTGACACAGGAGACCATACTCTCCATGTAACGTGTTCTTCCCCAGGCTTCTCTTAGGCCTCTGGTTGCTTCTCAGTCTCTTTTACTGGCTCCTCTCCTCGGCTTGATAACCAAATGTTTGAGTACCTCAGGATTTTTATAAAATTAATAACCTGACAAAGTAGGCATTATCACCCCCATCTCACAGGTAAGTAAACTGAGACTTAGAAAAGTCAAACCACTTGCTCATGTCTTAAAGATAATAAATGATAGAATTGTCCCAGATGGCCAGAATCCAAACCCCAAGCTTTCAATCACTGCATGTGTCCAAGGAGTCAGCAGGAGAGGGGACTGCTAAAGTGGAGATCCAAACTGCCACTCTGTCATATGCTTTAGCTAATGCATTCTGTCAGTTACACTGGACTTGTCTCAGCTCCCTTTCCTGACCCCAGCTCCTTGCCCTATGTATTAATCCAATGGAAAGGAAGTTCTAGTTCCAGGTCCTGGTCTCTGTTTGGTATGTCCCAGGACAAATCAAGGCCTTTCTGTCCTGGGCACAGAAGGGAACTTTCTCAACCTGATAAAGGGCATCTACAAAATACTGAGCAGCTAACATCATACTTATTCATAAAAACCTGGACACTTTCTTTGCCCCTAAGAGATGTCTACTCTCACTCCTCCTTTTAAACACCTTTTAAACATTGTGCTGAATGTCCTAGCCAGTGCAATAAAGCAGTAAAAGTAAATAAGAAGGCATACATATTGGCAAGAAATCAAACTGTCTGTAGTCTAGTTGTAAACAACTTGACTATCTCTATAAAAAATGCAAAGGAATGTACAAAATAATTCTAGAATAAGTGAATTTAGCAAGGTTGCAGGACACAAAGTCAACACATAAAAATCAATCATATTTCTATAAACTGTCGATCAACAAATGGAAGCCAAAATGTGAAAAACAATACTATTTACAATAGTTTTTTTTTAAATTTAAGTATAAACCCAACAAAATATGTACAGTTTCTTTATGCCAAAAAGATACTAAATGCTGATGAAAGAAATCAAAGAATATCTAAATGAAAAATACATTATGTCCATGAATAGAAAGACTTAACATAGTCAAATGTCAGTTCTCCCCAAATTGACCTACAGATTTAATGCAATTCAATCAAATACCACACGGATATTTTGTAGCCATAGGCAAGTTAATTCTAAAATTTATTTGGATAGGCAAAGGAACAAGAATAACCAAAACAAATATGAAAACAAAGAATAAAGTTGGAGTCATCACTACTTAATTTTATTATAAATCTACAATAATCAATACAACATGGTAGTGACAAAGAGATACATAGATTAATGGAATAAAATAGTCTGGAAATAAACCCTCGCAAATATGGCCTA